GTTTTTTGGCCAGGATTGAAGTTCTCGGCTATATTCTAGCAAGTTGTCCAAAAGTCGATGACTAAACCTAGTTTTTGATGATTGGATCTAAGGCTATTTTAGCCAGAAGGCAGAGTAAAAAAAGTTCAAAATAGAGAGAGAAAGAGAGAGAGCTAAGGCAAATTGAAGAAAAGGCCGGGATTTGGCCTTTTATACCAAGCTATAAACGACGTTGTTTGGTGAAGTACCTGACCCACTCAACCCGAGTGTAACCAGCATGCCTACTCGCCTCTAGGTTTGACCTATTTTGCAGGTAATTCTTTTTCTTTTTTACTTTTTTTTTGTTTTCATTTTCATTTTATTTATTTATTTTATTTTATTTTATTTTATATATATATCTTTATTATTATTATTATTATTATTATTATTATTATTATTATTATTATTATTATTATTATTATTATCCTAAACAATTATTTGACTTAGTATCTTTAATTAAATAACTTCTATTTATTTATTTTAAATCCTTTGTTTTAGTCATTTGTTTATTTAAAATAACCAAAAAATTTTTCTAAAATAATTTCATGAATCCTACCAAATTATTGGATTTTTTTATGAATTCTACTAAACTATTGGAGAATTTCATAAATCAATTATTATTAATAAAATATTTTATTTTGATCCTACCAAACTATTGAAAGATTTACATCTTAAGTTAAATCTTACTAAACTATTGGAAGATTTAATACATTTTTTAAAAATAAATTTACAAGGAAATCTCATCAAACTATTGAGAGATCTGCATCAATAGTAAATCTTACCAAACTATTGAAAGATTTTACTAATTATTTTTTTGAATAAAATATATTAATGAACTCGACTATGAAATCTCTTCAAAGTGGACATTAGCCTCCATGAATACTTAGAAGATGAGGAAATAATCTTAAATTACTACCAAACTATTGGAGCAAATATTTAAAGATACTTTAATCAACCTTAAGACTCTTCTTTAAATATGATAGATTCAGTCAGGTGATCAATTGCATTTAAAAAAAAAAGATTGAAGGTAATTATTAAAGTCTATGTTTAGCGGTAGGTCCACAAATCTATACGTTATGACATGATTCTAATATTTAAAGCTGAGTAAGTTGTCAATTACATAGATAATATTGAAGAATGAGTAGAATTATTATTAATTACATAAATAATTAGAAATTTAATAAACCAATCGAGTGTTATTCCAAGGGCCCAATGAAAAATTGCAGCCCAATGCAAAGCAATTGATACCAAATTCCAACACCTTTTAAAAATATATTTGGTTGGCATAACCAATTTTTTGTCACTTGGCTCAAGTTTTCTTTTTTACTTAATATGATTACGATTTAGAAATATAATAAATAAAAAAATCTTTAGGTAGTTAGTAAATTAATTTTTATAAAATTATGAATATAAAAGAATTATAATTATAATCAAATATTATATTTATATAGAAAATTAAAATCACTCAAATAAATCAATTAACGAAATAATATATAACTAGACAAATTCAATATAAAATTAAATCAAACTCATGTATAAATACTTAAATTTAAGATTTATCTTTTACTTATCACTAAGTTAAAGTTTCACTCATAATAAATTATTTTTTAATAAAAAGTAATCAGTAAATTAAAATTATTATTTATATAGAAGTGATAACGGTTCGATTGGTTTAGATTTTTGGATAATGCATAAAATTTTAAAATTTTAAAATCCGATCCGAACTGAACTTTTATATGATCTGATCCAAATTTAATTCTATTTTTTTAATTCATCAATTTTTTAAATTTAAATTTATTTATTTTTTATATTATTTTAATATAATGTTTAATATATTTAAATAAATTTAGGTATAAAATAATTATTTTCTTTTATAAAAATTTAAAATATATATAAAAGCTAATAAAAATATAAAATTTGGTTATGTTCGATTTTTCACTTTTCAACTCAAACCTAATATATATATTTAATATCTAAACTTAATCCAAATCAAATAAGAACTGAATCGAGCACTATAGTTCCAAATCGATTTTCAATTTTTTTGATTTTTTTCTCACACCTAATACATGGTATAAATCTTATGTCAAAGTGGTGTCCTTGTGCAATATCTCACTTTTTTACATAAAAAAAGTTTAAAAAAATCATGGTAAATGATTTTGAAATATAAAAAGGTTAAGGTATCATTTTCAAGATTATCATGATAATTTAATGACTGAGGTAATCTAATTATTAAGATAATCTTATCACTTGCGAACTGGAATTGCTTTATTTGTTTAAGAATTATTAATTTTTAGTAATTAAAAATCATTGTATTTGGTATTAATAAAAATCAAACATTACTTTGTTTTAAATTATCAAAATAATTAGGCGTAGTATAATAGATACAAAAATCAATAATTTCAATGTTATTTAAAGATAATTACTTTGTATATAAAATATTTTTAATATTTTATTTACTTCATAATAAATATGATTAAATTATTAAATTAAAAATATATTTATTGATAGTAAACTATTTTTTATTGTATAAATTATGTAAAAGATATTTGAATTAGAAAGTAAAACTAATATATTAAAATTGAAAGATTATATTATAAATAAAATTTAAAAAAATCACACAAAATATTTTTGAATTTGTTACAATGAATATTAGTTTGAAAATATAAAAATTATAATATAAAATAATTACAATTAATTTTAAAAAGAAACAAGTTTTTAATTTACATATTAAATGGATAATATTGACTGTTATTAATTTTACATATCACTTTACTCTGATAATAAAAGTTTCTCACATTTTTGGATGAGAATTAGATTACTCTCAACAATAGTGAATGATCTAATTACTCTCGGTAATTCAAGATTATCGTTAAGTAAAATCACTAAGTGATTACCAAACATGGTGATCTAATGATCATGAGGAAATCATCATAATTTTATAAGTGGTCACCTTGTACCAAACACTACCTAAAAGTATTAGGTATTTGAAAAAAAAAAGGAACAAGATATAGTTTTGAACATTCATAAAGGAAAAAATGCATAAAGAAAATTCGACAGAAAGTGTACCTAAAAAACTTTAAATTTTGCATAATTTTTTTTCAAAGTAAACTATACAAAAACAAGATTTGGTTTATTCAAAATAAATTTATTCCTTGAGGTCTAAAATAGGTTAGAGCATAAAAGATTAATGTTTTTAAAACATTTTCCATTTTCCATTTTCCATTTTCCAATTTTCATTTTCCATGTTCTATTTTTTATTTTTATTTTTATTTTTATTTTTATTCTCTAAAAAGAGTTTTCATTTTTATTTTTAATTTCATTGAATATGCATTTGGTTATGAATTGGTTAACGAAGATGAAAGACTCCTTTTGAAAAATGAAAATAATGAAAATGTGTTTGACATTTGAATTTTTTTTATTTCTAATGGTAGTACATATGAGTCTTATAATTATGATCATTAAATAGTTAATTAATTATGAAAGAACACGTTAATGGTAAAACAATATGGACTTATGAGTTTACGGTGCAAATCTTTATACAATTGCTTTTTGGAGAATTCAAACCCTCGAGGGAGTGGGATTCGTAAATGAGAGAGCAACTTCCATATTTTCGTCATTTTCTTCTTTTTTTTTTTTTGGAAAGTAACAAAAAACACCTTTTTTTTATTCTCAAAATTGACTAAATTTCATTTTCATTTTCATTCTCTATAAACATTTACCAAACACGGTTTTTTTTTACTATTTTATATTTTTCATAAAATCAAAAATAAAAATGGATATATTTTCTTAAATGACTTGATTTTTGTTCCTTATAATTTGAAACTTTAAAAAAGATAAGTTTTATTTAATTTGTAAATATTGTTATGAATTTTTTTTTAGTTTGCATATTTTGAAACTAACTAGAGTAAATATTGTTTTATCCTTTATATGTTCTGGTTGGCACTAATTTTATTTTAAAGGGTTAATATAATGAATTATTTTTGAACTATAATAAAATATTTAATATGATATATAAATTTAAAAACTTTTTAATATGGTACTTGAATTATAAATTTATTAATTAATGTGATATTAAGAAGACATTTTGTCCACCAAATGTCATGATTTTGGAGTTTACCATATTAGAATAAGTAACATATTAATTAACAGAGTTATAATTCAAGTATTATATTAGAGATTTTTGAAATTCATATATCATATTAAATATTTGATTAAAATTCCAAGATCATTCATAACATTAACCTTATTTTAACAACTCATATCCTATTTATAAGATTATTTGAAAAGGGAAGAGGCCTTTGACCTTATTAGTCTTGAGAATGTTGACACTATGCAAGAATGATTACCAAGGAACCTTCCCTCTTCTTATATATATATATATATATATATATATATATATATGTCAATAACCATTATCCTCGAATGTGATTGATGAAGAGGTTTTTAAGGTGAAGATGATGAATTATATCACATAATGAAAGCCAATGGAAATGGGTTGGCCTTGCGGTGGGTGATAACGAGTGATTTCTTTATGAAAAACTATTCTCTTTAATTACATTTTAATTAGATTTTATGTATTTGTTTTATAGTAAATTGATGATATTATTTTTTATATTTTTAAACTTATTTATTTGGTATTTGAAAGTATTTCATATTTATTTTACATATTATTAATAGTATTATTATTTACAAGCTTATATATACTCATAAATATATTCGTACTAAATAAAAAAAAGTAAAATAATATATCAAAATAATCTATACTAACATATACCATTTAAAGAAAACAAAATATTGTCAAGTATGTAATTAATAACTTTGGAGTTGGTCTTAGAAGTTGCAGGTTAGAAAAAATTTATACGCGTAATATATTTTTTTCAGTTAGAGATGTAGTGGGGAGGGTTTAAGGTTAACTTATGAACTTATAAAAAGAAAAACAACAACATTGCTCACAAAAAGGAAGAAAGATTTCTATGTTTAACTCATTTTTAGCACAAAGGCAAAAACTCTTAAAAAACTGAAAAACAGAATAGGTCCTTTCTTTACTTTCTTTCTTTTTCTTTTCTACATGTTATCTATTTAATATTCATCACTCACTAAACCTACACACCAAAAAATACAACCACGGCCTCAAAACTAATCTCCCCAGATTCATGTGCCCTCCAGCCAATTAACAGTTCGCCACAAACTGTTAGTTCACCCTAGTTAATTTTCATTAAAAATTAAAAACCTTGTGACAACCAAGATATGATAAAAGGAAAAAAAAAAGGGATTATGAAGTAATCTTCATATGTCCATATATTCTATTTATAGTATCTGGCCAGTAGTAAAATAAGGCATGCCATGGTGATGAAAAAAGGCTGCCCGAGATTTAATTTGGTGACGGAGGCTGTTGACGGATATGGGTGTGAAGGCACAGCACCAAATACATTTGAGCCCTTCGAATTTGTAGTGTTTAAGGTGGAAGAACTTGTGCTGCAATTTTAGAAGTTATTTTGTTATAATTAACTGTTAATTGGATGAGAGGGGAAAGAAAAATGAAAGGAAATTTGTAGGAGGATGGGATAGAAAAGTTTACCTTGTGGATTGATACTGACATGTCTCACTACCTGAAACCATGATCAAAATGAATAAATCCCCAAATTCTATTGTCTATTAGCACATATATATATACTATTAGTTCAGATAATTCGGAGTTCATTTTTTGTACACTATCAGTAAAATTTTTTAATTCTAAAAACGAGATTTAGAGGTTGCCAAACATCTCACATGTCCCACTAACAGTGGAATATGTATTTGTATTTTTGTGAACATATCATTTATTTAGGACAAATGTCAAATTTATCACAAATTATATTTCAATGTTCAATTTTACCACTCTATAGTACTTTATTAATTTGATTTGATTCTATTTTATTTTCCCCTATTTCTATTTTTATTCACAATTTTGTCAAAATTAGCTTCCAAGTCTAGTATGAAAAGCTTATAACAATATCAAACAACCATTTAATCCAAATCTAACTAATGTTACTTAACTAACAAAATTTTTTTATGACACAAATTCAATCCATTAAAAACGTAAACGACAACAATCTGAATCTAAACCCCAGCAAATCTCAAACCAATGGCCATTATATCTCCCTAATGGGACTGCACTTCATTTAGTTAATGATTTCTTATTTTATTAAATAAAGGAGAATATATTGATGAAAGAGTTAGGATGAGTATTTGGGAATGGGCAATCCAGGCCCAGCTCATTTATTTAGTTAGGATTCAGAACTCAGATATGACACATTTTAACTTACTTGGATCAGTGTTGGTAGTGACAGCAATTCCTCCAAAATTACAGCTACTGGGAACTGGATTCTTCTGGTAATAACTGTTAAATGCATAAGAAGCATGAGCACCAAGAGTGTTCGGATAATAACACCCTCCTCCTGGCTGAATTGCTGCACAGTCAGCTCCACCATACCCACATGCATAGTCTAGAGCTACTTGTAATGCAGTTTGGGATGCACTTTGGCTAGCCACACACCAGCTGCCCCCTGAAGACACCGGAGTTGTCATTGTCGTCGGAACAGACATCGGAGTCATGGTCACCGGTGATGTCGGATCTGGATTCGAATTAGGATTCAAAACTGGACTGGATGAAGTAGGAGTTGTTGGAATTATTGTCGGTACCGTTGTTATTGGGGTGGTAATGTCCTTTTGGTCAGTCGAAATATTAACCTTCCTTGTATCACTTGGACCTGAACCAAGTTAAATAATAATAATAAAAAAAAGAGTTAGATATCTTTCTTATTTTTATGGTAACTAATCAGATTGAAGTGAGAATTAACATTGAAGAAATTGGTCTCTTAACAGATATTAAAACTAGAACACGATTTAAATGAATACAAAGGTTTTATTTGATAAAAAGGATAAGAATGAAAAATTTATTAATCTAATGGTTATATATTGAATTAACAATTTTTTGTCTTTATCTCTTTTTGTACTTAGTTTCATCATTCTTATCAAACGAAGTCTAATGATTCAGTACCAAAGGAACAACTTCACTAGGAAGACAGGCAAGCAAAGATTTGATTGTTTTTGTATGCAATAATTAATGACAACAAAGAAAAGTGAAATGTTAAAAGTTCAAAGTTGAAGAACAATCATTAAGATTTTGAAAGAACAGGCAATGAGTAGGAGATTACTGTATCCTAATAGAAAAGAATACCTATTAGAAAGAGGACAGTGCTGATTTTTAAAAAAGAGAGGTATTGCCCACATGGGAAGGCTATGAAAATTCCATGTCCAGCGTGTAAAGCACTAAAAGTTTGAATTCGGAGAATAAAACAGAGAATACCAACTGCATCATTAATTTTGAAATGACAATTTCACAGCTGTGACTCCCATAATTCAAAGTTGCAATGAATTTGAAACATGAACAATAGGCCATTAACATGTCAAATCATGCAAAGAAAGCACAACGCAAGTGATAGAGAATTAGTGGAAACCTCATAAACCAGAAGAAGAACAAAAGAAAAGAAGAAAAACCAAGTCACCTGGACAGAGTAAGAGGCAGAATAGGAGGAATGTTTTAGTGAAAGTTTCCCATCCATCCATTTCTGTAAGGCCCCTATAACTTCCTGGTTCCTCTTCAACTCAATTCTTCAATCCTTTTCTGCTGTTGTTGGGACAAAGAAAAGCAAGGGATATCATAAACTAGAGAAGCATCAATGATCATGTAGAAAAGAAGAAGATTTTGGATCCCTTTGCCATGTATATATGAATATATAAATATATTTTGAAAGATATGTGCACTCCTGTGATTGTGTGAGAAAGAAAGAAAGAAGGGAGAAACTTGAGAAAGGAGACATGAGAGGGAGGGGAGAAGCAAGAGAATGGTGGCAAAGGATGGAAAAGGTGAGAAGGATGGTTGAAAAAGGAAGTAAAGAGAGACAATTGTTTTGGAATTTAGGTTTGGTATGTGGGTTGGTAAGTGATAATGGTAATGATGATGGTGATGTACGCATTTTTGCTCCTTTTTTTTTTTAATGCCTTGTCTCCTTTTAACTGTTTTATAAGATTATGGAAAATCATGAAGCCCTTATATATTTTTGAACGATCTTGTCTTTCGCAAGGCATGTGCCCCCCAATTGTTGTTGCCTTGTATTTGAAAAAATTAAGTTTGTCTTTATTATTGCAAAATCAATATTAGACAGCAAACTCATGGTCTTTGATCAGAGTGAATTGAAGAAATTATATGTTTTAAGTTCTTCCGAATTTGGAGTCATATTGAATGCTGATCAATAAATTCAAAATATATATATATATATATATATGTTGTATAAAAAATTAATAATTTGTGTATTTATATTATGTTTGTAGATATTTAATTTTATTCGAATGTTCTTTAGTAAATTCACCAATTGGGTTAAATAAGTCCTTAATTTGTTTAAAATTCAAATTTCATTTGTATTTAGAATTTAAATTTGGATCAATTTTGATTTTATTATGAAATTTGATTTTGGATTTGGATAATTTAATAAGTAAATTTTAAAAATATACCATGTGGTTAAGGCTAAAATAAAAGTACTCCTTAAAATTTAAAATGTGACACTTAATTACCTTGTGCAACTATTCCGTTATCACTTGCTTAATGCCATTATAAACAAAATAATCAAATTATCATGCGTATAACACAAGCCACAATTAAGAAATAGAATCAGTCGAATAGTTAACAAAAAATTGAACAAAACTTCCTTTAATCAATTTGATCTCCATAAAAAAATTTTTTTTTTTCAACAATCAATCCTCAAAATCAGTCAATTATTGGCAAAGAAAAGAAAAGTGTTTGAGTTGGTGACTGAGATCAAGATTTAGGTTTGGAGGTGGAATTGGTTTTAGGTTTAGAGGAAGTGAAATTTGGGCACGGTTTGGAGGTGTTTCATTGGATTCAACAATCAAATACGGTATGTATAATTCTCTCTTTAATTTCAATGCAATTGGTTTTAGGTTAATGTTAGGGTTACCAAGTTTTATTTAAAACATTTGGGGATTTTTTATACTAAACTTCATATCAAAATTAATTGAGGGTTTTTGAAATTTTGAAATGTTATTAACTTCATATTGTCATAATGTGTATAATGCTGTAACTAACCCATTAAACACAAAATATGGAGTCATTACTAATCTTTTTTATCTAAGTATGATTGGCGACCTAAGTGTATCTATTCCTTCTAAGATTATCCTTGCTTGATGTAGCACCCCTCAAGAAAATAGGTTCTGATTTTCTAAACAAAATTGGGTTTAGAAGCTTGGTTACATGTAAGAAAAGTTGCAGCACCCCTACAATACCCACCCTAAAATGGTAACAATTAATCTCAAATTATTTTATTAGCCTTAATTCAATGGTCCTAATTTATTCCTAGTTCATTTTTACTAATTTATTTGTTTTTGTTAATTTTAATATTTAAAAATTAGACATATTTTTAGATTTACTCCAACATTTTAGTCGACCCTTTAAAAATATTTCTCACCTTAAGAGTATTAAAGTAACACACTTATTTCTTTGAAAAGACTCAATCATTAGATTTATTTTAAATATTTTATGGAATTTAAATATTTTATGGAATTTAAATATTTTAAATATTTTATGGAATTTAAATATTTAAAGGCTTTGAAACTTTAAAAATAATTTCTTTTGAAATAAAAACATCTCATCAGAGAAAAGGTTTCATCCTTTAATCAAGACTAAACATTTTTATAAATCTCATTTTGAAAATTTTTCTTAACCCAATACTAATCACTTTTGTCATGAAAAATTTTTCTCAATTGAAAATTGAAATCTCATACTCGAAAAATTCTCCTCAATCGAGGGTCAAAATCTTATATTTCCAAATTCTCAAACTTTCAAAATCAAAATCCAAAGTAAAAATATGTAATGAATGAGATGAATGTCATGTGTGTAATACAAATAAAAGCACCTTTAATTATGGTAAATAGGCCCTCAAGCATTTCTCCAACTTCTTTCAGCGAGCTTTAGAATTGGTTATCAATTTCTCTCAAATAATTTTTATGAACAATATTTCACCACTTTCTTTTGACTTAAAGTATTCCATTTTTCAAAACCATTCCTTTTATCCATAGATCTTCTTCAAACTTTTTACCTTGACCATTCTTCTTGTTTCAAAAAGTTATTCTTATCATAATGATATGAAAATCACTTATCTCTTATCTATACCAATTCATGTCAATTTAAATATAATTGTCTTTAAAACAAAATGCCCTAATATATTCATGATAACCAAAAAAATAACCCCATATAACTACATGATCCAAAAAATGTACATTCTTTTGAAAACATGTGATTAAATCTCTTAGAAACTGGTGATTATTACTTAGAAAGATGAAAGAGAATCACAACTTGGTTTATTCAAAAAAAAGAAATGGTTCGACACATTGAGGTTTTAAAGAAGATTTTGCCACTGAATGAGAAAAAGCAAATAGGTATTTCTTCATTTAGGCTCACTAATGAAAAATCATCTTTTAAAATATAATCCATTTTTGTACTCTTTTAATTTCTTGCTATATTTTACTTTAACAATTGTCAAGACTAGTTATGAAAGGTTCAAAAATTTTTGGAAATGAAAAAAAATGCTTAAATTTCAAAACAAATCTTCAGATTGAGTTATCTTATTGAATTTTAAAAAAATTTTCATTGTTCATTATTACATGAGTTGCTTTCAATCTTGCTTTAGACTGCCCTTTCAATTTTCACCATAAAGCTCTATTCAAAAATTTTTTTTAACTCTTTTTTTTACTATTCCATCATGCATTTAGAAACTTAAAATTCATCTATAATCAAAAAGTGATGGTGATTTCCTAAAGAAAAGCTTTTCAATTTAAATATCCATATTTGATTAAAATAAACTTTTCAAAGGATATAAAGTTTAAGGTTTTGAAAGAAAGGATAAATAGACCCGAAAATGTGCTTAAGGGTAATCAAACCAAGGATCATTTATTTTTTCAATGGCATTTTCCTTTCCATTTCTCAAAGCATGCATTTCCATCTTTTTTCTTTTTCTTTTTTCATTTTATTTCATTTCATTCATCTTTTCACTTCTTGACAAATTGAGTTTGAAATTTTAAAACTTGTCTTTTGACTATAGGCATTCTTTCTTGTCTTGAGCTTTGGATCTAATGCCTTATGAAATAGATCATTTATCATACTTACCCTATAATGTGAAAAGTGATCATTTATTAGGGTTTTTTTCAAAAAAAAATTTAGTAGGCTTAAAGGGGGTAGCAAATGGATTTTTTTTTCTTATGTGAAAGGAATATGAAGGATGGCCATTTATCATATCGAATGTGGATACTTGTATTCAAAAGCAATTCTCAAGGGAAGACTTTTTTTTTTTTGTGGAATCATTTGAACGTCTCATATGCATGATGTTACAATCAATTCTTTTTTTATCTTTTCATCTATCATCTTAATTTGTCATACAGAATGAAGGCCTATGAATCAAAAGGATATTAGGACACTAGCTAATTTGGCATATGGGTAAATATGCCCTAAGATGTGGGCAAAAAAAAAATTTAGGGCAATAATGAAAGAGAAATGGAATGTTGCATCAATCAAGTTGTGGAACAAGGATATTGAAGGGGATATGACCTTTTCAGTGATTTTATCTTAAGGTAGAAATTAGAAAGGTTAGGCTATGTTTGGACTAGCCTTGACATTTATCAAATTACTAAAATCCAAAATCTTTAAGAGAATACCTCATGTATTGTCTTACAAAAATTTTGCAAATTTCATTGCTCATAGCCTTAATGAAGATTATTGACATTAAAATCCCTCTAGGTCAAGAGAAAATCAAGTTTGTGAGACTTGAAAAGTTAGGCTTTAGAATGGTATGGTTCTTAATTGAATTGGAGTGTGAAATGGTAAGTGAAACAACTGGGCATATCCATTCTTAACAATAATTACTAATTCCATTAGGAGTATTTTCACATGTAGTGAAAGAATTCATATACAGACAAAATTGAAGCAAAAACCTCATGCATATGTCAAAGCAAAATTTAGGAAAAAAATTAAAATTTTGATATCTTCTCACAAATTGTTTGATACTTCATATCCAAACTATTATAAAGCAGATTTCCATTACTCTATAAGTTCCATAGTCAAAGTGCCATTATTAATGAGTTTTTCAAATTTCTCTTTTAATTGCTTACATTTTTCAACTAAGTGTGCAATTACCTCAATGTGATAATCATATTTACCATTTGGATCATAGCTCTTTGTTGATGAATTTTGGGTTGTTTTCAATAGCACATAGGTAAGGAACAAATGTTTTATTAGTAAAGACAAGAGATCAGAAATTGGGATTGGAATTTTTTCTTGATTATTCCTTAATCTTTTTCACTTGGTCACTAATTAGGTAGCAAATCGAGTGACAGTTGTTTGAGGATAAAGATTTGCATAAAAGTTTAATTATTGCACAAGTTGACAAAGATAAGAATTTTGAGAGAGGTTGTTTATAAAAAGGTAATAAGATAGGTACATCGGATAAGGCTAATATGGTGTGAACCTCCAGTTTGTTGCCTTTCATAAATCACAACTTGGGCATCTTCTTTTTTCTTCTTTGACACTTTATCTCTCTTTACATCATTTGTACCATTTCCCTTAGGTTTGCCATTCTTAATTGTGTTTTCTATCATCTCCCTAGAAATCACCATATCAGTAAATTTTTTAGTAGTATTTTTAATCATCCTTTCATAATATGAGGCTTTAAGAGTATTTATGAATAGAACCGTAGTCTCATTGTTAGTGAGTGGTGGTTGAACTTGACCTCTAGGCATATTCTTTAAAAGTTTTAGTATTTTTTTTCATGCTTTGTAAGGATAAATGATTTAGAGCCAAATCTATTATGTGTTTATATTGTTTGATGAATGACCTAGCTAGTTCCCTCCAACCACAAATGTAGGACCTATCTAATTAAACATACCACCTTGAAGTAGATCTAGTGAGACTATTTTGAAAAACATAGATGAGCAGCTTTTCATCATTTACATGTAGGATCATTTTGCGATAATAT